ACTGAAGGCAGCAGGCGCGAGAGGGCCGGATGGGCCGCGGCACCGCCGCGACTTTGCTCTGACTAACGGCTAATTAAAAGGCGGAGGCAGAAGGAGCAGCCTGAGCCGCCGGGGTTAAAGATCTCGCCGAGAAGGGGCCGCCGAGACAGCCATCCGCATACAGGAGTTGTTACCTGCATCACTGCAAGAGAAACGGTCACGGGGAAAAAAAACGTAGTTTGAGACGATTAGTTGAATGAGTTTCTGAATGGAATTTCCTTCAAGCAGGAGTGGATAAACGTACATGGGAACCGCTTCTCAAACAAGGAAGACAGGCTCTCAGGAAAGAGTCTACACCAGTAAATAGCTACTTCAAAAGACGACATAGTTCCAGGTGCAGAAAAACGCTGGCAAAGAAAGGAGCATCCAAGATGTCAGAAAGGGCAGAGATAGGTGTAAAGGGAATTAGAGCATGCAAATAATATGAAAATAAACAAGAAAAAGCTTTTCAGCTTTATGTGTAACATGAGAGCAAAGGAAAAAAGTGGCACCCATACACAGTGAAGACAGAAGGAAGGATTACAGATGATTTAGTATGGTTCCTCAAACAAAGTAATAATTTGTTTCAGTTTTCAATAACGGCAAAAATGCAGGTCTTATAGGATTAACCTGGTATTTTTTTTTCATAGTTTATTTTTTAAAAATCGAGGAAATATTGTACGTCTCATCCAACTGGACTTAAGTAAACCATCTGACATTGTGCCACAGATGAAATAATCCCTGAAGCTGGGGAGAATATGGAACAGTATAAAAATAGAAACATGACTAAACCTGGTTAAAAAAAGAGAGAGCAACAGACTGTGGAAAGAAGGTGATATCAGATTCAGCGGAGATCACTAATGCTGATGCAGTCTTGTTTAAGATATTTCATTAATGACCATGGCACAGAAGTTGAAATGTCTTGATAGAACCTGCTGGAAAATAAAACAGAGAAGAATCAGCATATCGCATGGGAAGAACTGAATGACCTTGAAGACCAGAGTTAATAGGAGCAAGGTCAAAAATGCAGTGTAAAATATACGATGATGCACATGAAGTTTAGTGACTAATAGTTTTGCTATAAATTGGGTATTTATAGACTTGCCAAGGCAAGAGGATGAGAACTTCAGTGAGCAAAGAAATACCAAGAGTCAGCATTACATAGACGTTGGGGGGAAAAAAAGTCCCTAGACTATATTAGGGAAAGTATTTTCCGTAGAAAGAGAGAGAGAGAGAGAGAGAGAGGTTTTGATGCTATTGTAGAAAGTATTTGTAAGACTACATCTGGAATACTTTATCCAGCTGCAGTGCAATGTATTTAGGGAAGATGAACTCTAACCTTAACAGTATGATCAAGGGAAGATAGCATATAGAATACGAGAGGAAGCCAAAGAAATTTCGCTGGATTGCCTTAATAAATGAGACTGAAAGAGCTCTCTCTATAACCCAATCAGAGACTAATATCGAAAAAGAAATACATCCTTTGATTTACATATTTAGTTTATAATTGTTTTAAACTCATGCCAAAGGGGACAGAAGGGTACTTCTTGGCAGAAAAAAAAGTACAGTCACCCTATGCTCACCAGATGAAAGGCATACAAAAAAAGACAATTTCAAAAACAAAAATTCAGTTCACAAATTAAAAAGCAGCACAAGATAGCGTAGGTATTCTTGACTTTTTTCCAGTGCAAAGTCATAGAGGCCAGATGCTCTGCAAATGCTTTGCTTAACTGTATATTATTAGATAGACCTCTGCTGCTTAGGTAAATTACAATACATTAAAACCTAGGATCTTTAAGATTCTGCATCTTTATTAGCTATGATTTCTTAATGTCGGCTTCACTGCGGGCTACCAGCTGGCAAAAATCAAACGTGTTGTGGGCCAGCTCCCACTTAAATTAGCACTTGATAGAAATTAGCTTGCCAATTATTGAGTGGTTAACATGATTTTTTTTTTTTTTTTTAAGAAAGGCAATGGAGAAAATGCACTTCAATGCTCAGAATTATTCAATTATTTTCAAATAGTTTATTTTCAATTTCTATCTATGGATTTTAATGTCATTAAAGTTACTTTTACCATTATTTTAGGATTTTAGGAACAAACAGTTGTCTTGAAATTTTTTTGTTAAAGGAATGAATAACAAGAGAAAAATCTTCAGTCTTAAAAGCTACAAAATCCCAAAAGGTTAAACCAAGTCATTCTAAATCACCAATGCAAATTTCAAAATAGCTTTCAGGCTACAGTGTCATCAATTTATACTGAACTCTTCAACTTCTAACTAGAGTTAAACAAAACTATTTCCATGTGCACCTCAGGGCCTGGCAAAACTAAAGACATATAGAAGAAGCTTTCTTGGAATAAAATCAAAATAACGCCAACTGGCAAGAGATTGCACTTTACGGTGTTGGCAAAAAACAAAACCAAATCCTATCCTGAGGTACCTTCAGCAGCTCAGCTGTACAGTTGGACACAGTTCTATGAAGGAGCATTGTTTTGGTTTGCTCCTTCACAAATGAAAGCGGGACACAGCTTTTCCAGATGCAAACACCAGCTTTTGGAACCCAGTCCACTGGGCACAGGGCCAAGAACCAAGCTGTCCTTGTTCAGAACTGACTTAACTCTAAGCCTTGTAATCTCCAGGACACTATGAATAGTATACATTTCATCTATCCCAGTTACTGCTTCTGGAGGAACTCAAGTCGTTTGCAACCAGAGTACCGATTCAGATGAAACAGCCTGTCCTTGGCATTTAAATCCACGTAACCATGTATGTTGTAAAATGGACCATACTTAAGCATATATTTAAATGTTTGTAAGTGTTGGGTCAATTTATGATTATTAATAATCTAATAACTGCAAGCCTCTTGTGGGAATACGTTGTGAGGATAAGACACAAAAAGTAGTATAAAAATTGCAGGATAGATACTCAGTTGCTACAAAACATCATAGGTCCAATCACTCCAGATGAAGCTCTTACCAACAGTGAAAACTGCATTAAAAAAGTGGAAAAGGTTTTTTTAGGGGACAAGGGGGAGGATGGAGGGAAAGGGAGCAGAACAATTTGTTTTGGGAAAGATTGCCAGCAGAAAAAAAGAAATGTAGCCCATGTGAAACAAGAAAAAAAGCTGATGCATTTGCAGAATCAAAAACATAGCTCTACAGTTATCTGTGCTATATATTTTATAGGGTTAAAAACCAGAAAATTATTTTTCTATTGTGATTCATCTAGCAGCTTTCAAAAGCTCTGGAAAATAACATGCACCACTCAGGTAACCATGTATTTTTAAGATTATGTAGACAAGTAAAATATCCGACATTACAGTAAAATTTAGGCATAGAAATGACCCACCAGTCACTTGATCCATTTCACACTATGAAGCCTGGTAAGTCTCTGAAACACACCATTTTCTGCAACACTCAATACTCAGAAAGTATGCAAATCTCAAGCAGTTGAGAGAGATCTCAAGCAGTTGGATATTTACAGTAGCTTGTCATGCAATTAAGAAGGTGTGGTATATATCATTAGTTAGAAACAGCTACCTTGTTGATTAGGCATACTTTTATTTATAGAAAGCAAAGGTTGTATTTCTTACCAAAAACCAAATAAAACATGCCACTGTTAATGGGAAGATCAGATGAGACTTTTTTTTATATTCTGTCAGTGCTTGTAAAATAATGAGACCAAATATATTTTTGGTTTTTTCTTGACAAATCAGCAGGTATTGTTAAAGCAATTAGGCTTAAAGCAAACAGCATAAGCAGCTTCCACTCCAAGATCTGATTTTACACCAAGAAATTGAAGAGCCATTTCCTAGCAGGTACATACACTTTCAGTAGTCAAATAAAGGAGAATACAAATATGTGATTTACAGGTTCTTTATGTCCTTTGTCTCGCTGTTCTGTAGAGGAATCATAATGCGAGCTACTCAGAGTTACTTGTAAATCAGAAACTCATTTCTACAACCTCCCGACTTCCTCATTATACAGTAGATCAACAATACATCAACAAGAAAACTGTACATCTGGAGTAGAAAAGGCTTTTTTATAGCAATGATGAATATTACATTTTGAGATTAAGAATTGCTAAGAATTGATCTTTTTCAAGCATTCACTGACGGCATCTCAAATCATTAATTCCTGCTTTGTTTACAAAAGAGAGAAAAGGAGTGCAGCAAATACATCAGCTGATAATTTTTAGGTGAATGCTCGCTCAGAGGTTTGAATACAGTCAGACTGATATTAGAATCACTAAAAGTAACATTTGAAGTTAAGTAACCAGGCAATATAACACAGGAACTGGGACATGACTTAGTGCCTTTCAAAGTAAGGGGGACTCTTCCTGTTGCTTGCAGTTAACATAGCATGAGCCCAGCGTCTCCAAAAGGGAGCCGAGTCCTTGCATCATTTACTGTTGCAAAAACTAACTTTGATGTCATTAGCACCTGAAGTAGGATCCAAAATACAGTATTAGAAAGTTAAACTTCTGGAAGAACAGCAACAAAAAAAATGCCTGAAGTTATAGTGAAACCACACATTTCAAAATGAGTTTCTAAACGAACAGTATGTTAAGCAGAGAATTGCACGCAGCTTGCTGATAGAAAACATGAAAGAGCAATGCATCTCAAAGAACCCTTCTTTGTGAAGTGCAGGTAGTTTATTTGGCGGCTTTCTCCCCCGACTCCCCTTTCTTTAACTAACCTCTCCTCTCCCAGCAGGGAATATGGAGAAATGCATGACCTGCATGTGAAGAAGAGAAGGATCTGGAGCACCCTCTTCAATTCCAGGTGAATTGTCTAACCATGAGGCTGTTATAAAATAAAGGGGAGAACTACTTCTCTATGTTTTAAAAGCATTGTGCATCACTGCATTTTTACAGAGTCGAGGTCTACAGGCACATTAGAACTGCACAGAGTACATCAATTGCATTAAACTGTTAAAACAGATGAAAAGGCTAGTGTTTGATCCTCAGTTATGCTTAGGTGCGAGGTAGGCATAAACTGATCAGCAGTGTCTAACCTGCGATACTCTTCTGCACAGACAAGAGCAGAATTACAGTGCCCAAGGAAAAATCTAAGCAGACTGACAATTTTCAGGTGCCTCCAATACATAACAGACAAACAAGGACTTACAGTAGCACAGTTTTGGACTTCTGTCTTTGCTGTCATTTAAAAATTGCGATCTGGGCCAAACATTTCTTCTCTTTTAAAGGCTACTATTATTCTCCATTCAAAATTCATCACAATTTCAGAATTTTACTGCATAAAACAATCTTCTCTTTGAAAACTAATAGAAGGACAACATATTTCCCTAAAAAATAATGAAAAAAGAGATAAGCCCTGAAATTACCAACCAGTCAGCTTAATTAAAATTCCCGGATAAATATTGGAATAAGTTATAAAACAAAATATTTGCAGATACCTGGAAAATAACAGAGTGAAAAATAATAGCCAACACAATTTGTTTATGACAACTTATCAAACCAGCTTAATTTCCATCTGTGACAGAATAACAGGCATCATAAACATGAATAACAGCAGTAGATCTTAACTTCAGTAAGGTTTTTGACATTTTCTTTCCTGACGTTTTTCTAAGATAAGGATATTTGATCTAGAAAGAATTTCGTGCAAAATTGGTTGTACTCAGAGGATAGCTGTTAGTGGATAACTACTAAACCAAAAGTTTGTATCAACTGAAATTCCTCAGGAGTCTCCTTCATCTGTTACTATTAAGTATTTTAATACCTTTGGATGATTGATTAGAGATTACATTGATGAATCTGCAGTTGACACCAAGCTGAGAGAGGCTACAAGCTCAACGGAAGTCAAGGCTAGAGTTTTAAATTATCTGAAAAAAATTATACATATATAAATTCCATAAACACAAGCACAAAGTTCTGCACTTAGCAGAACTAATAAGCAGAATAATCAGCTGCACATAATGAAGAATGACAGTAATAGCTGTGTAGAAAAGAAACCGATAGAGCGCATCACAAGTTGAACACGTCAAAAATTTCATGAGGTTCAGAAAGGCATGCATCATAGCGAGATGCACAGTCAGAAGTATTGTCAACAAGACAATAATCAAGGAGTTGTGGAAAGACTGGACAGGAGCTAAAGGGGAGCAACAAAAAGGGTCCTGAGTTCCAGGATTCCGATCAAAACCAGAAATAATTGGGGCCTTTAATCCAAGAAGAGAAGACTGGACAAAATCATGGTAACAGTCTTCATTTATATAAAAGGCTGCCACAAAGATAAAGGGAATACTGTCCTTACTCACTTTGAATAAGTAGGCTAAATTGCAGCAAAAGGGATTAAATTTAGACAGCTGAAAAAGAATAGTTAAGGACTAGACTAGAGAGCCTGAGGAATGAGTGGAATCTCTATTTCAGGCCTTAAGAACAGGTTAGACAAGCATCCATGAGGGTTGGTTTCATAATAGTTTATTGTGCCTTGCAGCAGGAGGATGGCAGAGATTATGTCTTAAGGTCACTTTCAGCCCTGTTTTTTTTTAATTTACAGATTTGACACCTACATGATATCAACCACTAATTACTGAGCTTTACTAGTAGCAGTCCTACTCGATTTTTTGGATCTGCAGGTTTAGATGATTCAAGCAACACCCATAGAATGGCATGATCTTATGAGTACTGTACTTGCTAGCCTTCTCTCTTTCATTCCTGAAACTGGACACAGTAACTTGTCTTCACCTAGATTAGAACACAATCAGTGGTTTTTTGTGCGTATCTGCACAACAATTTAGGACGGTGAAACTGACAATCCTGATTAAGACTGTGATGCTTTGCTGAATTCAAAATAAGCAAATGAAATAACCTTTGCATCTACTTCTATTCAAATAAATCATACACACCCCCGAAAATCAGTAACAAACGCAAATACTCTGAGAGTCAGTCCTGCTACAGTTGATATTAACCCAAGCGTTACCATCGAGGACAGCATAAGCAAGAGTATATACTCATTTCTTATTTAAGATGGTAAAGATTTTATAAAAAGAACAAAGTGAAACAGAAGCCTTATATGTCTAACACGCTCATGCAATTATCAGTCCAAACTGTGTTTTCCTTTAGACTTATGTACATGCTTAACATCTCAATATATGGATAATATTAGTTAGTCTTTATTAAATATTAACTACTTTACTTAAGTATTACTTACATACTTCAAAAGTACGTTTCAAGACAGGGGAAGAGAGGAGGATGGTGTTGCAAATCTTTGTAGGCTTCAGGACTTAATTTGCACAAAAAGTTTATTTAACCAAGATTAAAGGTCAAATCTTGACTGCTTTGAAGAGTGATCATAGTTTCCCCATTCTTCTCTTGGTTTTAAGTTTCCCCATTCTTGTCTTGGTTTTAGATCTATTGCTTTCTTCTGGATTCTCACCTGTGTGTCCATATGTTTTTCTTGAAAAACGGTGCCAAAAAAAAACAGTTTAAAAAAAACCTAGATACAGTATTCTAACTCTTGTACCAATGCTGAGTAGCGCAAAAGGATTACTTCTGAGCCTACAAGCTATACGCCATCCACTAAATAGAATGAGCACCCATACATATTAGCAAGTTTATCAATCTCCGATTTCTGAATGAAGAAATAAAACAAGAGGATCATTGAGACAAAAACTGGATTTGAGGTATTTAAGTTCAGGGATTCTTCCTCATTTGAAGACTTAATATTATCTGTAATATCTAATATTGACAAAATAACTTTGAGAGTTTCCAGCAGAAAGTGGGCGAAATGATGACTAAGAGGTAACACTTTCAGTATCTAGTACAAATATAACCTAATAAATGGTAAAAAAAAAAAAAGAAATATATGAAAATAATTGGAGTTAAAACATTAATACTGTACTTTTTTATTACATGAAATAAAAACCTCGACTCAGATAGATCCAGTTCTGCCTAGGCTGTTCTTCCTCTCCACTTTCAAACCATGGCAGCTAGTGACTGAAGGAGCTAGTATTTAACCTGAGCAAAACCAACAGAATCAGGACCAAGTATCTAAATACATTTCCTAAACTGAGAGAAGTCAGTGGCCAGAGAAAGCAAACAAGGCACAACCCAACTAGTTAGCGTGAAGAGAAGGGCACCGGTAATACATAAATAATCATGTTTTGCTTTTATTTAGCGGGGGGGTG